GACTTTATTAATTTTGGTCAATGTCCAAAACCATTCGGTTAACGGTTCACCCACCCCGATTCACTAAACTTGTCCAATTTACCTATTTTGCATGAGAAAGTAAAGAAATATTATTGCCCTTTTTACATGATATAATATAAGTGGAGATATAGATATTGACATGATCTTGGAATTTTGTGATTAATTTTGATTATGTAATACCGTAATTTAAAGTAATAATGCCATAAATTCTTTAATTAATCTTGGGATTATATTAATTTTTAGAAAATTTTGATTTTTTATTAATTTTTTGAAAAGACGTATCTTACGATACATACGATACGCGTACACGATTCCAAAATTAGGTTTTTCGTAACACGATACGATACACGTTTGATAACCATGGTACAAACAACAAAGGTATTTTGAATTCGAAACATGACCCTCCTCCTTGAATGAATGTATTTATATTTATACACTTCATTTTTTTTTTTTTCGCTTCTTCATGATCACTCACATGCGATGTTTGCTTGTGAAGTGTCACTCATCAGTAATGAAATCAGAGATTATTTATTCTATGATTATTGTGTGATGTCATATTACCAAGTGAATAATAAACTATTGAGAGAAAGCAATAAATACCACAAATTGTATAATCAAAGTACAACGTCATGAAGCTCAATGTTAAACCAACAGTCCAACACAAGTCCATACACTTTATTTCTCTGATCCTATAAAAAAAATTGAAATCTACTCTTAAATTTAAAAAAAAAAAAAAAAATTGTTTTTTTTTTTACCAGCTCGGGAGCTGACTCGAACTTGCTCTTAAGCAGGCTCGCGAGCTAGGTCGAATTGCTTCCTCCTCCTTCACGAGTCGAGTCGAGCTAGACTCAGAGGCTCGCTCCTCGTTGCCGACTCGATTTCCTCCCTTCACGGTCAGCTCCAAGCCGAAACTTAGCTCGGCTCACTCGAAACAGCCCTATTTATAAACTTTACAATAAAAACTTATAATAAAATACCTAAAAGAATAACACGTGGTGCGAAAACGTGCTCCATGGATTTACTCCAACAAGTGATTTAGTGTTGGTATTAATTATGTCTTATAATGTATTTTGAATTTAGTTGTATTCGACTAAGATTAAATTTTGATTTAAATCTGTTTGGATGGTAGAATTTGTTTGGCCTGAAACAAGTTGTAAGATACAGCTATGCTAATATACAGCTAGAATATGTTACAAAGAAAAGAGAAATTCAATGATGATTCCCACAAAACAGGATATCCCACACAAATGCCGACAAGGAGACTCCATTATATTATTAATTTTAAATCTTTCGGGCCACGTATCAACTAAATTGGAAAAAATGGGCCGGTTAGGCGGGTCAACCCTAACCTGGCCCGTAATAAGAGGGTTCAACCAGCCCGCCTTAAGGGCGGCCGGGTTGAGCCCAACCCGCTAGCAACCCCCGGGCGGTTTTGTCCTCTCTGCAAGAAGACCGCAACCTGGGGTTCAAGGCGGTTGGCCAAAAAAGATTAAAAAAATGTAAAATTTATTTATTTTTTCAATTACCCTTAACCCTTGAAATATACCGTTTTATAGCCATTGGAGGGGTCTTTTTCGTGATTTTCTTTCCCCATTTTTCTAAAAATTGGCCCTAAAACTCTCATATTTTTCTCACAACTCAAATTCTCTCATTCTCTCATATTCTCTAATCTCTATTCTCTCATTATTCATTTATCTCTTAATCTTTTTGTTATCAATTTGCTCTTATTTTAATTTTTAGTAGTTTTTGTAATTTCAATTCATATTCCAATTTTCCAAATTCCAAATTTCCAATTTCCAATTTCCATATTCCATCTCTTCTTCTTAATTTTTATTTCTTCTACATCAATTTTTTTTCAACTACAAGTCTACAATGGATAGATATTTCTCTCCCATCAATTTCAATGATGAGAAAACTATTATCCTAGTCCTAGTCCCCGCTGATTTTACTATGAATGCAGGAGATTCAAATAGTCCCTGTCCGAATCCCAGTCTCAGAATCCGATACACCTCAAAATATGTCGTGATTCCACAGCTCCCGGTGGTTCTAGAAGTCGCCTCGTAATCCGTCCTCGTCCACTTCACTCAAGCTGAGGCGAGATCATCACTGCCGTCGAAAGCGAAAACAGACATACATCAGACGTTTGGTCATTTCGACAAGTTTTACGAGACAGAAAATGGCGTTCAAGTCAAGAAGCAAGATGCAATATTGTGCAAATGTTTATAAAGCTGATTCAGGTAATGGTACTAGTACTTTAAAAAAGGCATGCTAATAAACATATTAATCAACATGGAATAGAGAAAGCAATCAAACTCAAATAACTAATATGGGTACTACTTGCGTTATAATTCTGATGTATATAGGGAACAGTTAGCTTTATATATTTTCTGCATCTGATCAACCTATTAATATGGCAGAAGATAAATATTTTGAAGATTTGTTCAAAATTCATTTTTTTCCAAGTTTAAAGTTATTCTAAAACTGCAACTAGAAATGATTAATAAAATTGTTTAAAAAAATGAAATTGAATTAAAAATAAATTTCATACTTGTCATATTAGTGGGCTTTAACTGCCGATTGGAATGGTAAGCTAAACAAGATTATATTTGTATGACTATCATTATTTTGAATGAATTTAAATAAATAAATCTTTTTTAGGTTTAGATTAATGATGTGGATCATAGTGTTTAGAAATCTATAATAATTGACGTTTTAGAAGATTATGATATTATTGCAATTGATAAGTTTAACTTTAGATATGCAAGTTCATAGTAAAGCTATAGAATTTTTTCAAATAATTATCTTTTATTAACAATTTGAAGTTTTTTTTACCAACTTTGTGCATGTCGAGTATTAATTTAATTGTGAAAAGTGGTATGAAACAATTAAACAAATATTGACAGATTAGGGAATCTTTAGCTTGGTTACTAGTAGTATAAAAGAAATGCTGAATTTCAAGAAGCTTGTATAAAATCAAATATGTCTCTTAGAACTTTTGCATTAGATATGCCTGTTAGATGGAATAGTACTTATTTAATGCTTAATTCATGTTACCTTATGCTAATATAATTATTTATTTGTAGCAAATAATAGAGGTCTTCATTATTTGGTAGAAAATGATTGGAAGATAGCTAAAGTTTTCATTCTTTCTCAATGTTTTTACCATCCACTTTACAACTTTCTGATGTGTATTATCCTACTAGTCCATTGTAATCACTACAATTATAAAAAATTTCGAGTTATTTACCAAAAACAGAACAATGAATTTTACATGCACCAATGAAGGCAATAGAATTTTTTTTTTTTGAAATATTGGGACCCATTCCTTTTCTTTATTGTTTATGTGCTATATTTGATCCTAGATTAAATTAGCACGTTTAGAAAATAGTTTTGACAATTTAAGTGAAATTTACAAACCGAATCATATGTCAATCAAATAGGAGAGGTAAAAAATATTCTTTTCGAATATATTTCCAATATGAAAACAGGTAGGGAACCCGCAGTCGCAAAAGGCGAAATATCCAGAGAAGCTGTAGCAAGAAAAACAACAAATGAAGACTTATACTCTTGGAATGCACTGAATAGCCGGAGGACCCGAATCCGAAGTACAACCTCCTCTTCAGAAAGCACCACCACCACAACAACAACAACAACAACTAATATACTGCTCCTCCATGGAGTCGCAGAGTAATAAACTTCAACAACATATTTCAACCCCGAAATGTTTTCAACATGTCACTTTGATATCTTAGAGTATTAGAGACCAGAAAATGTATTTTTCCCGGTATATCAAGACTTCCCTTGAGTTTTCGCTGTTCCTTCTCAACCGTCTCATCCAAACAAACATTAGTGCAAGTGAAAGATTTTAAATGAAAGGAGGACTAAACTTGCTCTAAAAATGATTGAAGTCCCACTGTCTTCGAGATTGGGAACGATCGCGCCATCAAATCAATATGAGGTTATCGACAATACTTAGTAGAATCATTTCAATTTTGTAATATAGTTACATGAGGAGGTCCTAGTGAACCACTCCCAATTAGTTTTTTTGTAAAATGTAATTTGTAAATTAATTGTCAATTATTGCATTCTTTTTTCTTTACCAAGTTTTTCTCCCATTGGGTTTTTCTTGGTGAGTTTTAACGAGGCAATAATGTTGTAATTTCTTATTTTATTTTTTGATAATGAATAAGTCTAATTTTTCTTATATTACATTTTATTGTATTAAAATTGAATTAATATTTGAAATGTTAACCAAAAAAAAAAAAAAATTTGAATGGAATTGAATATTGATATTTGAAAGTTAACTAAAACGATTATATTTATAATTATTTATTTGAAAAGTTAAATTAAAAAACAAAAATAATAAAAAAAACAAAAAAAAAAAAGAAAATCAGGCTAACCCGGCCGCGACCGCCGCCTAACCCGTCGGGCTAGGGTTGGGGCGCCGGGCTGGGCCAGCCTTTTTCCCCAAATTGTCAGCCAGGTTGTTGGCGGGCGGGTTAGGCCCAGCCCGCCAAGATGTAACCCGTGGCGGGTCGGGTCGGACGGATTACTTTTCCACCTTTAGTTACATCGAGGATTAGAACAAATCTCTATCCTTGGCCCAAAATTAATATCGGGCCCGTCCTCGAGGATCCCTAGTCTGAATGGTGCAGGGCCGTCCCACTCCCCAAGGAGTTTTGCCATTCCTATCCCTCTGTGACTAGAAAATGGAAACAATTGATACCACAATTTTAGTTACAAGGAGAAATGCACCCACAAATAAAAGATGCATTTTTTTTTTTTAAATAATTTTGAACTTTAAATTTCGAAATTGGAAATTCTTTAGCTAAATAAATATAAAAAAAATGATTATAATAATTGTTTAACCAACTACAAAAGTAAACCATAATTTACTATTAGAAGCGTCACGTTAAAAACAAAGATGTTTGAATAGCATTAAGTTGTAATATCTAGAGAAAGAAGAGAGAAAAGGTAAGATACAAAAAAGACACTGTTTGACGCACACTGTCACCTTCAAGACCCAAGAATCTTTCACAAGGCACCTCAAATTTTTGAAACCACCCTCAATTCTGGTGTGCTTCATTTCGCTGTTAATGGAGTCTCCGAGAAAGATTGGCACTTGGTCAAACAAATGAGTGAAAATTATTCTTCTGTTATTCCTTGCTTTGGACTTCATCCTTGGTATATTTACCCTTCTTATTCATCAATTCAATTAAATTAATTGTTTTGTGGTTGATGATAGATTTGATTTGGGTTGGGTTGGGTTTGTTTATAGGTTTATTCAAGAGAGGACTCCTCACTGGTTCCCTACTCTCAAGGAATTTTTTCAGGCTTCTCCCTCAGCTGCCATTGGGGAGGTTTATTTTATTTATTTTTCACTTCTTGTTTTCCAATTATGAAAATATATATTTTTCTCTAATTCAGACATGCTTTCAGATTGGTTTGGATAAAGGTTCTCGGGGAAGGGAGATTGACTTCGTGGATCAGGTTTTTAGATTCTCTCTTTTTCTTGCTTTTAGGTTTATGGATGTGGTTGGCATTAATAATCAAAATAAATCTAAATTTGCTTCTTTTTTTATTTATTTTTTCTTTTTTTGCATTAATATTAAAAGTCAACATTTGTTATTATAAAGATTGGGCGGAATTGAGTGCTGTGTAGGGTGCAAACTAAAGCACCTTCGTTTTTGCTCTCGGTTCTCCAAAATTCTTGTATAATGGTGCTTTTATTGTTGCAATGTCTCTAAATAGCTCTTTAAATTTCTGAAGTTATATCGAATCCATTTATTCCAGAGGTTTTTGCTTTTGACTCTCAAACTTTGATGATTTTCGAACTGTTCGTTGCAATGTTTCTGAATAGCCCTTTAAATTTCCGAAGTTATATCGAATTGATTTATTCCAGAGGTTTTTGCTTTTAACTCTCAAAGTTTGATGATTTCCGAACTGTTCTTTATAGATTAGTCTTTTTATATCATTCCAGGTTGAAGTATTTAGGCAACAGCTTGAATTTGCAAAAGAATTGAACAGGCCGGCATCCATACATTGTGTCCGTGCTTTTGGCGATCTGCTTGAGATAATGAAGTATGATTGTTTATGTTTCTCTATTTCTCTTGAAAGTTCTTATCATTAGTGAGGATATTGTGATGATGAATGGAAATAGTTTCATATTCCTTACGTCATGTACTGTTAGTGGTCATAAAGCACCCTGTATGGTCTTTGCCGGCCAGTTGCTTCTTAATGGACTATAATATGTATAAAATTTTATATTTACATGTTTCTAAGCAAGCTTCTTATTTCCCTAGATCTATTGGGCCTTTCCCTGCTGGTGTCATTCTCCACTCTTACCTGGGTTCTGCTGAGATGGTTCCAGAGTTTTCAAAGCTTGGTGCATACTTTTCATTCTCTGGATTTCTTATGTCCATGAAAACACAGAAGGCAAAGAAAATGCTGAAGATGGTTTGGAAATCTATTTCAGTATGCTTTATTCGTTTCAAAATATTTAGGGTACTCAATCTCAAAACTTTTGTTAGGTATCTTCAGAAAGGATTTTGTTGGAGACAGATGCACCTGATGCACTGCCAAAGTCAAATTTAGATTCTCTGTTTTTAGTCGATGGAGACCCTTCCCTCCCTCAAGAGTTTCATGCCCAGGAAGAAAACTTGGCCTCAAAAGTTGGTACACCCTCTGATGAACAGCCCCATACTTCAAAAGATTCATCAGTGCTTCCAAAAGAAACACTAAATCATCCGGCAAACATTCATAACGTATGTTTCTTACGCTCTTTATTTTATGATTGTTTCATATTGCGTTGTGCATAAGTTTGTTATGCCTGTAGATAACTGTTATCTTAAAAAGTGGTCTCTCCATACAAAAATGTTAATGGCCAGGTCATACATGAATAACTATTCAAGAAACCTACTTCAGCTGGTTCAATACTTTGTAATGCATTCTTTATACTGAGAGCATGATGAATTTGTACTTTTCACTAACATCGTTGGGCATTATAACAGTTCAAAAGCTATTCAGTTTCATTGCTTTCTTAATTCTTATTGTTATAAAGCTGGGACATGCTATGCCTGTTGTGAAATAAAGAGAAGCATTGAAAAGAGAAGGTCGGAGGATGACACAGAGGACTACTTGATACAATGAGAATATGATACCTTTGGATTCTTTAGTGCTATGTTTAGTATCTCATAGTGAGGATGAACTATTAAGTTTTCTGCAACTTGATTTGTAAAAAAAGAAAAAACCAATAATAATCGCACAAGAATGATAAGGTGATGTAAGGTTGAAGGTGCTATGGTCCATTGCTGAACTTGCTATACTGTGGTCTGATGTTGGCTAGGTTAGATTATCTACACTATTGATACTAGTAAGGTATACTGGTACATTGCTCTTAACTGTTGCACTCTGATACAATTTGTCCAGTAACTTGTAAGGTAGAGCTTGGCTCTTAGTAGGGAATTGGTTAGATACAGCACAATATTATCACAGTCCTAGGAGTCTTTCATCATTGTTTCTCAACTTCTCCATCTTAGAGATGTATATATCATCTCTATGTTGGACCAATCTCTAATTTGTAACTATTACAGTACATGCATAGACAAGTACATTTGCAAGATTTATATGAAGTTTAGGTTATGTATGTTTTCTCAAAGAATTAGTGGTGGAAGTTTGAGCATCTGAAAACATTATTTACCCAATGCAAATCACTTCAAATTGATGGTTTTTAAGTATATAAGCAATGATTTTGTTGTTCTTTTGGCTAAAAATTTTCAAGGTTGCCTAGAGTAAACAAATCTTTTGTGTTGAGGAGAACTACAGTAGTCCATATGATTAATGTATAGCTTTGCTTGGAAACTTTGGCAAGGTTTAAACTTCAAAGTTTATCAAGAAGCGTACACAAGCTTATGTGGTGATGCTTTTGTAGAAGGGCTGCGAAAATTAAAGCATAAGCTGAATTAGGACATTATTATGGTGTATGGAAAAATTCAATACATATGTCACCTCTTAATGGAAGTTTATGTGTTTGTTGATCAAATGTTTGCTCCTAATGGTAATATGATGGGTCGAATTTCAGGTACTCATTTACGTTGCATCTTTGCTGGATATGCCTAAAGAAGAGGTTGCAGATCTAAGTTACAGAAATGCGGTTCGCATTTTCTCTTATGAAGGTTCAAAAGTAGAAATGGGAAAGTAATTTTGTTGAGTAAGAAAGTGGTGGTGTTTGCATGTTCTCATATGAAAAGGTTCGAAAGTAATTGAGTTTGCTAGGTAAGAAACTAGTCTTGTCTTGTTGATATGATAATTCCACAGCGGCAATGGTATATAAATGACATCCTGAAATTGACATATTAACGGACTGTTTTAGTCACATCTTCTTCCATGTTCCATCCTTTATCTGATAAAAACCCTAAAGGCTGCAGCTTGCATATGGATATATAATAACTGTCTCTCTGTTTTAAATGCCATTCTCGTTGATTTGATTTTAGTCTTCTCAGACGAAGGTATTGGATTCATTGAAACTTGTTCAAGAAGATTGTCGTCAACTTAATAGCATCAAAAGCGCTTGAGCACTGCTTCAAACATAAAAGATTTCAAATTTACAGTAGGATATTAAATAAGAACATATTAATTTGGGATTGTTGTAACTTTGAACTTAATCATTTTTTAGTTGACTTTGAAAAATAATTTACAATGTGTTCGGTAAATTTCGCTCTTTGATTGCTACCAAATGTAAAATGACAAAAAAGTTCAAGTTTTACTTTTTAGTGAGTTATAAAGTATTAGAAAAATGTTAGTTTTACTCACACATTTTACTCATTTCTCTTACTCACCTTTGTTAAAATGATATATTTACTCACACATTTTACTTATTTCTCTTACTCACCTTTGTTAAAATGACATATGGTATCCGTATTATGCTTATGGTATTCTTACTATATTTTATATTTACAAAGGTGAGTAAAAAATGTGAATAGGAAAAGTGAATAAGGCTAGCATTACTCAAAGTATTAACACATACCAAAAATATGTTTTCAAATAATTTATTCAATTGATATTTAAAAAAATTTGACAGCCTGGTCATCCAACTATTGTTTCCAATAGCAGCCCATTCAATGGCACTTTAATTTATATTATATAACATTTCTTAGACTTTAACCCATTGAATTTTTCTTTACATTTTATTGGTGAGTATCATTTAATTTGGTTACAGCTCATTTAATAAGGTTATGACTTTGTTAATAGGATGGTCATTAAAGCTTTTATCTTATCTATAGTCTCAAGGTTTTGAAAAATTAGTTGAAATGTATATAAACTGGTCTGGATACTCCAATCATTAAAAAAAAAATAATAATAATAAAATAAGGTAATGAGTTGAGGGTTTACAAATAGAACTCCCCTCTTGTTCTGTATTTAGGATGAATCAAGAACTCCCCTTTCCATTTCCCTCACTTTTTCTTCTATACTTCTCACTTTAATTGAAGACGATGAGTTATTTAATCTCAAATCACGTTTAAACTCGTATGCTATCATGTTTGTAAATCCAAAACAATAAAATAAATCAACAATGAAATAAGTATTGCACATTTGAAGACAATTTCTTATTTTTTTGAAAATAACATTTTGGTTTATTTATTAAAACAAGAAAATCAGAATTTAGATACAAAATCAGATTCACACACAACAGAAACCCATTTGTTTAGGAACATTTGAGTTTTAAACGTTGGTTTTGTTTTGCTGGTTGTAATTTGACACTTCATTCATTATTAGTCATCTCAGAAGGATCTCCATCTTCATCTTCCATGTAAGTCATATTCTTTTTTGTTCACTGAAATTGTTCTACCCTCTTCATTATTAATTCAACTTTTTCAGGTTGCCAAAGATTTCATCTTCATCTGAGTTGCAGCTCAATGTACCTGATGTGCCTTTGAGTTTGAGCAGAGTGAGACATTTTTTAATTCTCTCATTAATTTTATTTCCACTTTAATTTAAAATTTTATATCATGTCATATTTTTACTTTCTAGGAACTTCTGGCTACAAAATCAGCCAAAGTAGCTGCCGCTACACCCCATGAAAATCTCTGGCATTTCCTCCGAGAAATTCCAGTTGATTCAGAAATTTTAGAGGTTGTTGCAAGATTCTGCCATGGGTTTGAAGTGGAAATGTCCACTGAAATTGTTATACCTCTCATTTGTGTTGCTTACTGCTTGGAAATGACCGAAACTCACGCCAAAAATAATCTTTTAAGCCAGGCTTACAACTTCTTCCAAAGTAAAGTTCTCCCTAGTTGGAATGAGACCATTAAAGTTTGCCGAGTGGCTGAGAATTTTCTTCAACAGGCAATTTATCTTGGCTTGGTTGATTCGTGTTTAGAATCTCTTATTGCAAAAGCACTAGTTGATCCTCACCTTCTCCTTCTTGGAGAACCAATGATAAGAAATCATGCATCTGATGACCAAATTTGCAATAATCCCAATGCAAGGCGAAGGCTCTTATTTCTTAATAATGGGGATTTCGAAGATTTGACAACACTCTCTCTCCAACTCTATGAGCCCCTCATTCTATCAATGAATAAGCAGAGAGTTCCATCAGAGTACGTGGCTGCATCCATTTGTCAATATGCAAAAAGATGGGTTTTTGCAAGCACCAGTAATAATATTAGTAGGAATTCTCAAAGGGAAATCATTGAGGCGGTAGAAGGGTTGTTGCCTCTTGAAAAGGGACTCATTTCATGTACATTGTTGTTTGAAATGCTTCGGTATGCAATCGCTTTGGATGCTAGTTGTGATTGTAGAACTGGGTTTGAGATTAGGATTGGAAAACAACTCGAGCAAGCAACAGTAAAAGATCTCTTAATACCTTCAAAAGGTTATGCTAAAGAAGTGCAATATGAGATTGAATGTTTGAAGAGGATTTTAAAGAATTTCTATGGAAGCTACTGTAACTCGAGTAGTGCAGGGTTTATGACAGTGGCAGAACTGATTGAAGAATTCATGGCAGAAGTTGCAAGTGACATAGATTTGAAGATGGAAACATTTATTTCCATTGCAAATATAGCAACAACAACATCTTCAGCCTTAGGGACAGAAAGAAACTTAGATGGAATTTACAGGGGAATTGATATATACTTGGAGAAGCATAAATACTTGACAGAGATCGAGAGAGAAGAGATATGTAAAGTATTGGATTGGGAAAAGATGTCAGTGGAAGCTTGTGAACACGCAGCCAAAAACGAAAGATTGCCGTTGAGGGTGATTGTGCAAGTGTTGTTTGTGACACAGTTGCAGCTACGAGATGGGAGGAGTAAGGATGAGAAAATGGTAATAAAGGAAGAAGTGGAGGAGGAAATAAAGAAAATGAGCAACAAGGTGATAGAGCTAGAAAGAGAGTGCTTTATGATGAGGAAAGAATTAAGTGGGAAAAAAAGGAAAATTAGCATGTGGAATGAAATGAAAAGGAAGTTTGGTTGCATCGCTACAACTGTTGATGATTGTAATTGCCAAGACAAAGACAAGCATCAAAGGAAGAAGAATAAGCTGCATCCTGGATTCCGAATTTAATCAAACAATATTTTGTTGTATTTACTTTCTAATTTTGAGCATCTTAAATATTATTTACTGTTGTTTTTTATTTTTTAATAAGAGACCATATTCCACACCAAGTGAGTTGGGCAGATTTCACCTTATTTTATCGAATTTCACCACTATTTTGTCATCAATATAACGATAACAAGAAAATAGTTTAATATACTGACTTATCTATTTTATTTTTTTTAATTTTAAAGTAATTAATTTTTTATTTGATTTTAAATAAACTTTAACAAATGTCAAATTATGAGAGGTTTGTAGTACCAACTCAAAATCTAGATTTTCTCCTCCATTAATAGATTTCAGATAACACTCTTTTCTTCATATACAACACTAAGTAATAGTAGTCAAAATATTAAGAAATTTTGTGGCTTTTGTATCGGGAAATTCAGCTCTATGTTGTTGAATTTCTTTAAACTGACATATAGACCAAGATTCACTTTTTAAGGGAAAAAAATTAATATCATTTTAATAATTAAAAAAAAAAAGCTAAAAAAAATCATATTTAAATATAATTGTTAAAATCTATGTTAATGTCAAAATTTGCACCAAACTGATGTTGATTGTCTTGCTCTTCGGAACATGATGATTTTCCCATTCTACCTTAATTTGATTCGTTGATGTCTAATATCTGGAATGTTGGATGCCTTCTTGCCTACAGCGCTGGCCTCTTTCCCTATTAAGGAAACAACAAAGGCTCCGACAGAATTGTAGGGTTAGAACAAGGGGTAGAGGCTAGGAGGAAATTTAACTCCCCAAACATTCAAAGCTTGGATTTTAAAAAATAACCCTGAAAATCGGAAGCATTTTTTTTTTTTAAAATTTAAAATTCTGACGTGGCACACTTAATTTTAACTAAACATGCAAAAAGGGGCTAGAGTGAAAAGATTGAAATGTATATGGGTAATAGTTAATTAATGGAAATTTTTTAAAATTTTGAAAATTAAAAAACGACCCTCTCCCGTCAAAATCGCTTAATCGAGCAGTATACCCAAAAAATGACCGACGAAACACCTTCCATTTCTCTACGATTTTCGGAGATAAAAGTTCCCTATTTCCGGTAAATATTCGATTCTAAAGCTTCGTTACACAAAAATCATGGCTTATATTCACAAAGAGGAGGAAAATCCAACCCCACTCCAAATCCTAGAGTTCGGCAGTGGTGGCTATTCAACGGTTGTCAAAGAAGACGTTCGGTGGACCATCCGATGAGTAAAGGTGGTCCAGCGGCAGAGGAGACAATGGCGACACAAGAACAGAAAGGAGAATCAAAAAATGGTTCTAAAGAGGAGGATGCTAGCGAGAATTCAGGTGAGAAGAGGACGCCGGTGAAGAAAAGATACGTTTTTTATTGATGGTTTTGAATTTGTTGAAAAAATTGATTGGTTTGGGAAAATTTGGGGGATATGTAGTTGGTTTTGATTGTTGCGGTGGTTGTGGCGTTTTGTCGAGTAGTTGGCGGGCATCGGGGGAGTGGCTTTGTTTGAGTTCCAAAGGATAGGAGAAGGCAAAGGAGGCCGTAAGGACGTTGTTTGTGGGAGGTTGGAGGGCTAGGGATGGCAAGAGGGAGCGGAATAGGGGGATTGGAGGGCTGCCCTACATATTGTAGGGCTGCGCACACACAGTTGTGCGCGCATGCTACCTGTGGCCAGCCCTACAATATGCAGGGCAGTCCCCAGCTCCCCCTATTCCACCCCTTCTTGCCATCCTCAGCCATCTCCAGTCATGGAACCTGCCACAACAACCTTTGTAAGGCCTGCATTGGCTTCCTCGGTCCTCTAAAAACACCCGGTCCCCGATGCCCTTGAAGCCTATATCCCCCAAAATTGGCAACCTATTAGTTGTTTTGGTTTCTTTTTTTTGCTGATATTTAGTTTATATCGATTGTGCAGATTTTCCGAAGCGTAAATTATAAAGACCATGGGTTAGAGGTTGTAAGTGATAAGATACCGTACTTCCCCGTAATGGTGATAGGTAGGTCAAGTTGACAAGTTTTTATGAGAATAAAGGAGATTTTAGAGGAACAAAGGAAGGGTATGGACCAATTCAAAGATAGTTAGTTCGGTCATTTTGCAGACATATAAGAAAATTGGAAAAAGGCGTTCTAGGGGTAGGGAATGCATTATATGTTGATGCACTCAGTTAAAAGTCCAAAAAAAATGAAATGTGGTTTGTGGTGGATGAGAAGCCACTACATTTTGGGATGATGAAATTTGCCCTGATGACAGGCTTAAGATGTAGGGCATTTCCAGATGCGGAAGAGCAAGAGAGAATAATGAAGAGCAGGGCACCCAATAACTTGGCTAAAAAGAGAAGATGGGTATACCTCTTTGGAGAAGTTCAAGATGTGCCTGGTATGGTTCATGCATTCGATCCTAATGGTTTCTAACTTAACAAAAGTCGTTAATATGGATTGGGTGAAGTTTGCAAGCAACATGGACTTCTTTAATACTTATCTGTGGCAACAGTTATCATTTCAACTAACCATTGAGTCCTTGCGTGGAAAAGACATGGATAAAACATCGCCAAGTTGTCGAGAAGGATAGACCAACCACGTACCATTTGTTTGGCTTCCCATGGGCAATGCAGGTAAATATTAATAGTTCTTTGTTATATTTTTTGTATTATATGTTTTTTAATTATGATATGGACTGTTTTTTATAATGTAAGCTTGGATGTATGAGGGCGTCCCTGCTCTAGATAAGGCGTTTTTTTTGGGGAGGGAGGGGAAGAAGACTTCAGATGAGCGACCGCAATTTCCTAAGATGTTGCGATGGCATACCGAGAAGTGTGTCCATTGGGACTATAACAAGATAGAAATGGAAATTCAAGTGGCTCGGGTAAGATTAAAGGATTAATCTTTTGAATGTGCACTTGCTTTTAAATGTGGCTTAAATTTGATTGATTTTTTTCTTATTACAAGGAGTCATCTGTCCCGTCCTCACCCTTGGGAGAGGAGTATGTTACATCGTTTAGAGCACTAGATGATGTAGCAGATGAGGGGATAGACTGTCTAATGCTAGACTTAGAAGGGGTCACGCATTTGAGTGCAGCTGCAAGGCCACTGCTTGAGAATGTGGTTGAGGCTGACGAGGATGAAGCTCCATTTGGTGGGAGGGAGGAGGATAAAGAGGTTCGTATGCCTCCATCTAGTTGGTAAATCAGTACAACAAGTACTAATTTGCCAAGGCGTTGGGGTTGGGAGAATGAGGTGGTTGACCTCATAAACGGTCTTTTTGATAGTTTTACAACAACTATTTATGAGAGGTTTGAGAAGATGGAAGAGCGGATGAAAAGGGTGGAGGAGAAAATTGATAGGGTGGTGGAGAAAGTTGGTGGGATATTGAAAGTGGTAAAGTACAACCTGAGCATAAAAGAGAGAGCCGAAAGAGTAAGCACGTAAAATCTCCTTACACGGCATTAACGTATAGAAAGAAAAGGAAAACGAAGAAAAAAAAATGAGGAAGTCCGTGAAAGTGGAGAAGCAAAAATGGAGGAGGGTAAGGAGGAAGGCGAAAGAAGTGGGGAAGTGAAAATGGAGGAGGTTGAGGAAGAAGGCGGAGGAAGTGGGGAAGTGAAAATGGAGGAGGTTGAGGAGGAAGGCGGAGGAAGTAGGGAAGTGAAAACGGAGGAGTTAAAAGTCGATTTGTATAGGCCAATAGATGAGGAAAAGAAAAAACTCTTCTATGCTTATTACAATAATTATGGAAGTGATGGGCGTGTGACGTGCAAGACCGGGGATTATCCTCGGGAGTAGTTTGAAAAGATGTTGACAATGGGCAGGCGGCTCGACAACTCGGTAAGTTATTTTCCCATATTTTTCCTTATTTTTGCTTATGTTTTCCATGAGGTATTATATACTGAATCGCTTAAGCGATCTTTTTTTTTTTTTTTAAGAGGTTGCTTAAGCGATTTGTTTTTGTTTTAAGAGATCATTAAGCAATCTCTTAAAACAAAACATATTGCCTAAGGAAAAACCATTGATGAGGTATTTGAATAGACACTTATCATGTTGTTTTTATTTGATGCAGCACATTGATGAGGTATTGACACTTATGAGATTACGACAGAGCAGTAATTGTGATATTTTGTATCCGCTCTGTGCCATCACCGATGTGACCTTTGGCTAAAGCCTAGTAACTACATATGACATGTTAATGAAAAAGGCCAATGGTGGAAGTGCAACAAGGGGAGGCAAGTGGAAACGAATGGCCACAGAAGACTTCGACGGTGGCCTTGATGATTTTCGGTTTGATGAGAGGATGATGTAATATGTATGCAGGGAAAGGCCCAAATATGGCAATAGTTGGGCAAACATTAGAAGTGAACATCAAGAATATGCATTGGATAGCCGTCGTTTGGCTACTAAAGGAAGGCTTGCTATAGATCCTTGATTGCAACTTGAGTATTTGTCAAGAGAGGTAGTTAGAGATGGAGTTGCAGCTGCTGTGTACATTGTTCGTGCGGCTGTTGTGTAACAGCGGGATGTTTCAGCACTTAGGTGATGAACTACTGACAGGAAAGCGGCCACTCAAGCTCCTTCCCGTCCCGATAAATGACTCGAGATAAATTTTGTATAAAACCTACATAATACAATTATTCTATAAGCTTATTCTAATGTTAATGTCTTCCTCCCATTGTAGTGCTGATTGCGAGGCATATGCACTAAAATTTATTGAGTTCGACATGACCAACAACCCAATGGACAGGTTGAATGATGATACAATGAGCAACTTTTGGGAGCGCTTGGTTGTTGAGTGCTTCTATGGGCATATGAATCCCTTTTAATTGATCAGAACCCAATCCAAGTCATTGTTGATGCTGTCATCAAAAGGTATGGAAGTTGGACTTAGAGTTTTGTAATTTATGTGAAATACATTTCTTATTGGGTTGTCTTGAATAATTGGATTGTCCTGATTTGGATCAACTAGTGTTGTTAGGCGTCAAGCTGTTGATACTTGGGTTGTGGTGTTATGTATGCTTTATGGCCAAGGCCAGTGCTGGATAATGTTGGAAAGGGTGCTATAGAA